TATTACTTTTATAAAAGTCAAGCAATGGGAAGGTGCTTTTGTTGTGCGTATTCTTGGATCTACGCAAAGTTTTGTATTACAATCAGCCATTAAGGTCCTTCTGTCCAAACTGCTCGGGGCTTTTACTGCTTCCATTAACACTCGTGGACACTTGAAATCATACCTCCTGCGTAGGCCGTCAGCTATGTTCTCGTCTATAATCAACTCTCTCAGCCTCTAGCTTACACCGGGCTTCACACAAGCGTTCAAATACTTGCGCTCAACTTCTTTTTACCCTATATATTGTGACCTGCCACTGTCTGTCGCGATGTTGGAAACACAGCTATATGCGATGACACTGTGATATACGTATGTGCATGCAATTCAAAGCAAAGGGCCTGGCTGATAACTGACCTCAGCTTTTTAGTGCTGATCACTACGCTGGGGTACCACCGGCTCCGTCTTCAGCCTTAATGTCAACAAACAGTGGGATTTTTTCAAAAGAAAAATGCACATTGTGTCAATCTATAGAGCATCTCAGGGAAATATTGATATTGTGCCGCAGGTTCACGTACTGGAATCGTTATAGACTCTAATCCAGCAAATTCGAAATACAAGTCAAGAAAGTGACCCAAAGCGTAAAGTTTTAGCTAGCAATTTGATAATAAGAACACAATGTTTAATTCTGCCAAATGATACATGAATGCCATGATCATGTCACATTCGTTACATAATGTACTCACAAGCTGGGGGCAAACTAACAGCTCCACACTGAAGCCACTAGCAACCCTGTACAAACAAACCCTCAAAGTACTGGACCAGAAACCTAACCGCTCCCATCACTGTGCCATCCTCAACAAGTGTAACATCCTGAGTTGGGAAGATTTAATAAAATATAAGAACATCTTCCTGGTGTACAAAATCCTGCGTAACGTAACAACATCAGACTGACCACCACAAGCTCCACACGGGCGACCTTTCAGTCCCATTCAGGAAGGGTACTTTTGGTCAGTCACCATTCTCGGTCAGAGCAATACAAAGCTGGAACTCTCTAACCACTCAAATCAAAGACATACATTCATATACCACATTTACAGCTCACTTAAAAACATGGTTCACTGAGAACTACACCTGCACACAGGGGCGCCGCCAGCGATTTTGGGCCCCATGAAAAGATATCACATTGGTTACTTAAACATTTTTTTCTTAATGTTCTAAAATAGTTTGGGCCCCTGTCAGTCAGGGGCCTTAGAATCGTCCTAACTTTTCACCCCCTTACGGCGCCCCTGCCTGCACACACTAGTCTGTGCTGGATATGGCGTGTGTTACATGTTGTGTTACATGTTGTGATCATGGATGTTGCCCCCCTGTTGTGTGATTGTGATGTGCTATATGTGACATGTACTGTATGTTGTAACGTGTGTTGTTTATTGTTCTCTTTTATTCTTTCGCCTTTCATCCTTTTTTGATAAGTAATTCTGTTTATATATTGTGATTTTAAGGGTGTCTATTATCATCTGGCTGGGGACAACAGCTGGAAATGAGCAATGTTGGCTAAAGCTGCCCCATTTACTGTTTTTTTGTGAGAGTTGATCAATGGGGACTGTACACGACACTATAAACAAATAAACTAAACTAAACTAATTATGTGTATTGTGTATGTTTATTGTAAGTTACCCAGACACCATCTTTTGACTCATGTCCACATTCTCTCCTTTCAGGACAGTGTCCAACCAGTGATAATAAAGGAGGAAGGACTGGACGCGTTGGCCGACCAGGCGTCCTCTGACTCCGGTCAGTACAGAGAAGAGCCGGGCCAGGACAATGACGACGACCCAGACTACCAGGTGCTTTTACAAATCCTTCATTCATTTAATGTTTTATTTTCTGTTTGGAGATTTTTTTTGTCTTCTCAGAATTTTGACATGTCGTTTTCCCCTTTATAAAGTAAATGACTTCATATACACACATATTCCATCTATTTCGAAATGATGAATGGACTTTGAATTGCCCCTACTGTTAATGTAGTGTGGGTAGCAGTTTATATTGAGAATATAATGAACTACACCTCTTAATGGAGCTTACCACCAAAAACAGTAAAGCAACAGTGAGTTTAGAGGCAATGAATCAAGAATTTCTTAATTTCTTCTGTTAGATGGAGCCAGACGATCCAGATGACGGTGACCCAGGATTAACTACCAGACCTAGACGTGTTGTTAAGCCAAAGTCCCTACGAGGTAGAGCGAAGAAGGAGAACCAGAACCAGCAGCCTCTGAGCTGCAGACTCTGCAGGAAGACGTTCACCAAGCTGCTGCACCTGAAGGCCCACCAGGCTGCGCACGGGACCAACGCAGAGAAGCCTTTCTGCTGCTCTCAGTGTGGCAGAGGCTTCTCCTTCCAGCGGAGCCTCAACGCTCACATGCTGCTTCATACAGGTGAGTGAGGTACCGAGCTGATGGACAGGTCTGAGAAGAACAGCCAGTGCAGAAACGCCTTAAACCTGCATTCTTTCAAACGAGCAGCAGGGAGCCAACTTCTGACATCATGTATTACTTTACTTTGTAAACATTTACCAATCAGTTTATGGTCTCAACTGCTGGTTTACAAGTTTTCATAACAGCATGATGGTCATTTTGTAAATTATAGTCCCATTTAGAGTAAACTAGGCTGGAAGCTTTATGGAAGTGGTGTCCAAACTTTTTTCACTGAGGGCCACATACAGAAAAACCTACGAAGGGCTGGGCCCCTCACTAGAAGTAAATGGACTGTACTTATATAGCGCTTTATCCAGTCTTTAAGACCCCTCAAAGCGCTTTACATACTACATGTCGTTTACCCATACACACCCATTAATACAGAGCAGTGTACCTAACTCTAGGAACTAACATTCACACACATTCAGACACCGTTGGCCATACCATCGGGAGCAACTCAGGGTTAAGTATCTTGCCCAAGGATACATCGATATGTTGACTGCATGGGCTGGGATCGAACCCACGACCTTCTGGTTGAAAGACGACTGCAATCCCTCGCAGCCACAGTCGCCGAGCTATATTGCCTCATAAGTTAAGTAATAAGTAAGCAAAATCAATTAAATGTAGGTACATTATGCTTTATATTTGAACATGCTTTAAGAAAAAAAACAGCCTCCATCACAGCTCTCCATAGGGTTTCATTGACTTTGTTACTGAAAGTGTTGGCAGCTCATCCCTTAAAACAGAAGCCAGTACAAGCTGTGATTCTCAGTCTTCCTTCACAGCCCGGACAATAAGGGGAAATATCAAGGGTATATTTCCAGCTTGTTAGGCAAATAAGTAATTGGGCTTTTTATTATCAACTAAGATTTGTTTGTACATTTATTTGAAAGTGTACTAATTGACACATTAATTATACTGCTTAAAATCAGTTTACATTTATATTTAAGAAGTACAATAAAGGAAAAGCACAGGTTTCTTGTGTGGGCCATATTCCATTATGCTTTTAGAATTGCCACAGTTGGCCCCCGGGCCGTGGTTTGGACACCCCTGCTTTAGGGCTATGTTGTGATTGACAGGTTGCTGCTTCAGTGTCCTGGTGTTGTGAAAAGCTCAAAGTTTAAAGACAAAAACAAGATTTGTTTTCAGTTAATGAAAGGTAAACTATGTTTGTTGCCTAAAAATATCTTCATCAACATTCTCTTTTGTCTGGTTCCAAAAAAACAATATGGCGACTGCTAAAAGGCCAAACTAGAGGCTTCCAAACTGTAGTTACCACACTAATGTGTGATGTCACGGTGACTACTTCCAATATATTTTTTATAGTCTATGGTTGTTATACTGAAAATAATAATGCCTTATAAAGATTTGATGAGGAATATCCACATTAACACACATAGGAAACGTATTTACCAGACACAGTGATATAAGGATTCATTTTGAGTTCAGTTGCTGACCCACATATAAATATGTTCAATTTTCACTAGCACTAAAGGTTTCACTTTTTCTATGCCATTGATCTGGTTTATCAAAATGGGGGTCAATGAGTGAGATGAGACAAAACCATACAGTATAGGGTCATAAATCCGAAACAATGAGCTAGAGGGGCTACAACTCACTAGAGATGCTGACCAGGGATAATTGTGTTTTAATAAAAATGTCTATTAGAAAACATATAACCTTTGACAATGTCATATTCTGTTAATCTTATCCATCTACAGGTGAGAGACCACACACCTGTGATGTTTGTGGGAAGGGCTTCACTCTGAAGCAGCTGCTGAGGAACCACCAGCGCCTGCACGCCGAGGTCCGGCCGTTCTGCTGTGAGCAGTGCGGGAAGAGCTTCTACCGAGCACACGGCCTGAAGATGCATCAGATGGTACACACGGGGGAGCGGGCCTACAACTGCCAGTACTGCAACAAAAGCTTCACCATCCAAGGAAACCTGCAGCGCCATCTGCGCATCCACACAGGGGAAAAGCCCTTCAGGTGTGAGACTTGTGGCAAGAGCTTCAACCAGGCGGACACTCTGAAGGGCCATCAGCGGATCCACACCGGGGAGCGCCCCTTCAGCTGTGAGACCTGCGGCAAGTGTTTCATCCAGAAGAGTGCCCTGAAGATGCACCAGAAGACCTCCCACCCAGGCTCCAGGGAGAGGTCTCTGGCCTGCGTGGCGTGCAGCACCACGGTGACCTGCGTGGACTCGCTCCGGAAACACCTCCAGACCCACGCGGCCACCATCCCCTGTACGTGTGTGATCTGTGGCCGGCGGCTCAGCTCCATCACAGACCTGCGCTCTCACCAGCAGCACCACACGGTGGACCGGCCGCACAGCTGCGGGCTCTGTGGGAAGAGCTTCAAGTCGTCCAGTTACCTGAAGATTCACCTGAAGACGCACAGCGGGGAGAAGCCCTTCTCCTGCGACATCTGCGGACGCATGTTCACACAGCACAGCAGCCTTAAATCACATCAGGTGGGTCTGCATTAGCTATTGTTCCAAGTAGAGTGAAGATGCTCCTAAAGGGGCCATTTTATGCTTTTTGGGTTTTCCCTCTCCTGTAGTGCATATGTTCTATAGGTTTTTGTGCATGTAAAGGGTATCCAAAGGATAAAATCCCTGTGTTTCCTCCAGAGGGAGTTTCTCTCCCACACACACTATAATAATGTGCCGATATATATATAAAGTAATACTATATAAATATATAAGATATATAATTATTATATATATATTTATTATATATGACTATAGTATACAGGTCAATATATCATGATAGTATAGATGACTGTAGTAGCAACATTTCTGTTTGAGGAGTCTAACAAAAAGTGGGAATCCTTTGCTAAAAACAAGATTTAGTTCAAGATTTTTTTTAAAGCTTTTAAAGTTGAAGGATTAAGTTGTCTGTGTGTTGTGAGAAATAAAAATAGGAGCGCCAACAGACCTCAGTGTTGTAGATGAAATAGAAAAAACCGCAGCGCCGACCTCTGCCTTTCTGGGTACTTACAGATGCAACACACCATTCCTGTTGCCCATTTGACCCTGACTGTTGGTTGTATACAACTCTAAGCGTTTACACAACCAGCATCAGGGTCAAACCTATATCTTGTAATGTATGTCATAGAACAGCATGTCTGATAACATCATCATTTTGACAGTGTGAAACGACAATGTTTTGTCAGTTTTCGTGATCCTGTGTAATGTTCTGAACGGCTGACAAATGAAGTGTTTGGTTGTTGGCTTTATTGTATGACCACCGAATTGACATCTAGTGTGGGAATCCTTTCCTTTAGGGATGGTGGTAATAGTTAGTTAGTCAGACGAAATGTCCCGTAGAAAACAGGACGAAAAGGACATCCTCATTGAGCAGGTGACATGACGACCCAGAGAATTCTGCTGATATGATCCCGAACACTTGTAACGAAGCCAACATTTAGGTTAGTTTCAGAATGAAGAAACATGTCTTCTGCATCGAAGCACGCCTGATTTGATGTAAATCTTTATTCATCGATTTCACAATTGTAAATCTACATATGCAAGAATTATAACAGTCTTTCGAATGTATCTTCTTTTCCAAAGTTCGTCCCACCAGGAGAGAAAGCCGTTCAGCTGCGACACATGTGGGAAGTGTTTTAGCAACACAGGAAACCTGAACAGACACCAGCGCATCCACACCGGGAGAAACCGTTCTGCTGCGACACATGGGCCCGCAGCTTCAACCAGGGAAATAGCCTGAAAGCACACCGCAGCAAACACCAACCCGGGAGAACAGTTTCATTTGCGACAAGTGCGGGAAGAAGTTTCTCCTACCTGAGGAACCTGAAGGACCACAAATGTTTCCTACGTCTAAAACTCAAACTGTGAAAGAGGACGAGTGACATAGGGTTGCCTGAAACCAACGAGAATACATGAAGGAAGGATTAGGTAAAAATTGCGTTTTCCAGATCAACAGCTAACCTCCAATAAATTTTGAGCGGTACCAATGCCAGTGGGGTTTTGGATTTGTGGAAACTGTAATTTAACAGCCTTAATTAAAAGTCACGGAAAAAAAGTTCAGGTAAAGCACCATTATACAAATAAGCTCAGAATTATTTGAAGCTGGATACTGCTGTACAACAAGAGTTACAAACACATTTATNGCTCTGAGATGTGTTACTAACTGTAAAGTACTTACTCATCACTGTACCCTGTATGCCAGGGCAGGTCTGCCTTCACTTACTGTTCGGAGGCTGAGTCATTGGTAAATGACTCAGCCTCCGAACAGTAAGTGAAGGCAGACCTGCCCTGGCATACAGGGTACAGTGATGAGTAAGTACTTTACAGTTAGTAACACATCTCAGAGCACTGTGATAGGCGGCATCTAACTTGATCAGGTGATGGGCAGGTGCATTCATATAGATCAGATCCCCATAGTCCAGCACAGGTAAAAAGGTCACAGTGACTAGCCTTTTCCTGGCCTCAAGCGAGAAACAGGACTTGTTTCTGGAAAAGAAACCTAGCCTAACCCTCAGATTTTATGCAGATTATTGACCTGAAGTTTAAAAGTGAGACAATCAAGCCAGATACCTAGGTATTTATAACAGGTAACCACTTCAAGTATTTTTCCTTGCGCAGTAACAATATGCAAAGCTGTCCGTGTCAGAAGAGAGCTCATCAAAATGAACACGTTGGGACCTTTCAGAGAGGTAGTTCACAAGCTACTGCATGGCTGGATATGCCAATACTGAGTAGCCTCTGCTTCAAGATGCGATGATCGACGGTATCGAACGCTTTGGAAAAATCAATAAACAGAGCTGCACCACTCTGCTTTTTGTCTAAGATACTCGTAATATCATTCACCACTTTCATTGTCGCAGTGATGGTGCTATGTTGCTTTCTGAAGCCTGACTGATGTTTACATAGGATGTCATTTTTACATAAAAGCTCCTTTACTTGTTCACTCACTAGGCTTTCAAGAACCTTAGCCAGAACTGACAATTTAGAGATGGGCCTATAATTATTTAATAAAGTGGCCTCCCCTCCTTTTAGTAAAGGCAGGACATAAGCCGACTTCCATACTTTTGGAATTGTCTTCGTGCTGAGGGAGAGGTTAAAAAGAGTAGTAAGAGGTGGTGCAATAAAATCTGCAGCTATCCTTAAAAAGAAAGGTTCTACGTTGTCCGGACCAGCCGGTTTCTTAGGATCTAACTTGGTTAAGCCTTCATGAACAGCTTCAATAGTAAAAGGAGAAAAACTGAAGGGGTTTTCCAAAACACGTTTTTCAGAGTCACGGACTGTGGTGTTCACAGTAGCAGAGTTAGTAACGCAGCGTCTACACGGCGGCGTGCGTTGAAGCTTGCCGGCGGGCGTGTCTGAAACTCGACCAACAACCAATCACATGAATCTCCCGCCCCGGACACAAGGGCATGTGGTTTGATTGGCTAGAGCTTGTACTGGTATATGATTTGATTGGCTGACGCTTCCGTCGAAGCTTCAAAAGTTGAACATTGCTCAACTTTTGAAGCGAGCGACGCGAGCGACGCATTGAAGCTTCAACGCACGTCGCCGTGTGGACGGGCCGTAACAGTATCAAACAGAGAGCCACAGGACACAAAATGCCTATTAAAACAATTTAACATAGAAGCCCTATCCGATATAGTGCCAGATGGCGTGCTAAGGCAAGGAGGTAGCTCATTACGGATTTCACCGGTGGATATTGATTTAATGGTTTTCCAGAATTTTCTAGGATTATTCAGGTTCTTTGTGGTAACTGACAGATAATACTTAGACTTAGCACTTTTGATTNGTATGGCGTGCTAAGGCAAGGAGGTTAGCGCATTACGGATCTCAACCGGTGGATATCGATTTTATGGCTTTCCAACATTTCCTCGGATTATTTAGGTTTTCTGTGGTAACTGACAAATAGTACTTCGACTTAGCACTTTTGACATGTGAAGTGAAGCTATTCCTTAGCTGCCTAAAACGCAGCCATTCTAACTCTGAGCCTGATTGCCTAGCCTTTGCCCAGGCCTTGTTTCTGTCATGTAGGAGACTAGACAGTTCAGCAGAAAACCAAGGATTGTCTCGTCCCTTTACTCTAAATTTACGCAGGGGTGCATGTCTATCATGTCTATCAATGATTTCCATAAAACCAAGATAAAAATAAGACCATGCAGTTTCTACATCAGCACACAGATCGATTTTTCCCCAATCAAACCCAAACAGATCATGAACAAAACCCTGCTCCACAAAATGCTTTATGTCTCTCTTAATAATACTACGAGGTTAAACCTTTTGGACCTTAGTGTCCCTAATTGTGGCTCCAACACAGTGGTCACTCACATCATTCGCAAATACTCCCACAGATGAGTATTTATAGGGAACATTAGTTAGAATGAGATCAATTAGGGAGGATTTATTAGGGGACTGTTGTTGTTAGGGCGAGTAGGACTGTCAACAATCTGAGTAACATTCAAAGAGATACAAAGGTTTTTAAAATCCTCTGATACTGCAGTTAACCAGTCTCAGTTAAAATCACCAAGTAGCACTATTTCCTTGTAGTCTAGTTGCGATAAAAGATTTGCTAGCGAAGACAAGGAGTCCTTGACAGCTGAGGGGGGTCTGTAACAGGCCACCACCGTGACCTGTTGCCCCTTTGCCACTTCTATATTTAAGGCAAAACATTTGAATTGCTACAACGAGCCCTGGAGGGTTCATAGAGAGAAAAATAAATAAAACGTGGCCACGTTTTACTTTCTCGTTCGCACGAGTTAATAAAGCGTGTGCACCAGTTAATAAAGAGTGACCTCGTTTTATTTATTTTTCTCTCTATGAACCCTCCAGGGCCCCGTAGCTTACTTATAGATTTGGAAAATAATGTGGATACTCTGAACTTATTCTTAACATAAATGGCAACGCCACCACCTTTATTAGGCCGGTCGGAACGATACACATTTTATAACCATTTAAGGCAATGTCAGAGGCCAAAATAGATTTATTTAGCCATGTTTCTGACAAAACAATGACGTCAGCGTCAGTCGAGCTTGCCCAAATGCGGACAAAATCTAGTTTACCTAACAGACTGCGCACATTCAAATGGATGAAACCCAACCCAGACCTAGCTTTAAAATCAGCAGGAGTAGCGATCTGACTACTACTACTGGGCGGACCAGGGTTAGGTTGTACATTTCCTGACAGTAATAGCAACAAAAAAAACAGGCATCTTTTCCTCTTAATCGACACACATACATTGTCATCTACTTTAGAATCACCGGAAAAGTCTGCGAGAGTGTGATTTGAGCTTAAGAAGCAGTCCTGAAGAACCACCATCGCAGGAAAACAAAAAAGACAAACATATTTTGTCGAGCAGATTGTCTGTGACAAGGCAACCGGTAGTTGTTTGTGTAACAAATCCGAACTTTTGCAGGGGATGCCCACTGCGGGTGGCAGAACAGACCTGAATCCAGTAGACTTCTCAGAATGACTAGAGATCTTCTCATAGTCCAAAACAGTTAACAGGCACAGAAGAATCCCGATATGGGCCATTTTCCCAGACCAGCAAAGAGTATCCGCGATGTAGGGCTTTGCTCTCTGATTTAGAATTCATGATTGGGGCACAACGCCCTTTACGGGCCCTCCTCACCTAACCCCACCGTTATCTGTAATTGGGTACCAGTGAGGTACAGATGATTCACACAGCCGGCTGATTTAAGCAGATGACCTTTGAGATGGCCTGGATCACTGTCAGTGTCTTGTCTAACAGATGTCAGCTAATAGAGCAACACCCACCTCTCCACGGTGTACCAGGGTGTAATCATTTGAACAGCCGAAAAACTTTGCAACACTTGATGAGGAGTTTGTCCAACAATTCACACAGAATTTGAATGTTATTGCGTATTAACTGAGTTTTTACAGCCTTACTCCAATAGAGACATTCCCTTTCCCTCCTTGCTGATGTTTTGGGTTTTCCAGTGCATCTCATTTATATAATAAACAGACTCACAAGAGAGAATGACTCAGCAGTAGGATGGATTTTCAATTTAATATGAGAAGGCTTTCAGGTTATTTTAAATTTGATTATAAAATATCTTATACAATATAATGTGCTTTTGAAAAACCGCGTACAAAGACCGCAGTCCGTCTTCTTGTGCCTGCATTCAGTCATTCAGTACTCTCGCCCCCTGTGCTCTGACCACTTTTTAATAGCACTAACTTCGTCACACTTTATATGGAAAATAAACACTTCCGAACCTAGCCAGGCTTATAAATGTAATGCCTTTAATTTGGAGAAAATAACCTTTAGTGTTGGAAATGCACACAGGAGATAATAAACTCAGTGGGCAGCAGGAGGAACGTCTCTTCAAACATATTCATTGATTTGAACATAAATCCAGCCAGCAGACCTGACACGCTCACAACCTCAGCCCCTCATGTCTTCTTTTGTCAACATAAAGGAGAGATTAACAGTGCTTATCACATTCATCTGAAATACATTTCAGGGCAGCATGAGTGTCATCATACTTTACAGATCCTGTCTTCTCAGCAGAAGTGTATCTGTACCTATGGTTATATTTTATTTACATTATTATAATTATTGCTTTTATTGGTTTTGCATTGTTTTATATTCAATTGTGGTAAAGAGTAATATTTTCTTGTAATTAAAAGTGGGAAGTGTAATTTCTTAACTGTTAAAGGAAATAATCTTAGCAATGGCACTGCTTGTGCATTGGAAAGACACATTTTGCAACCATATAATAGCATGTTTTAACATAAATATCAACTACCCTGGTTGTCTGCAGTCGTTGAGATAATAGTAGATGAACTATGAAATTAACAATTCCCATAAAGATTGGTGTGCTATAAAGAAAAACATAACATGGGCAGTTTTTTTTTTAAAATACTGAAATAACTGACATGAACTGTTTATTCTTTGTGCAAAAGGTCACAGGCTTATTCTTCCAGTGCTGTAATGTAAATGTGCCAGGGGTCAATGTGACACCAAGGTCACCATTATGCTGGAAAACCACAGCAACTGCAATTGAAAGGGAAATTGTTAGAATCAGACAAGGCAGGAGAAACACAGAGAATGGGAACCAGTAAAAAGGAATGGTAGAAAATCATATTTTTTAAGGGTGCGTTGGCAGAGAACCATTAAATTGTCCATTTGCTTTAAATTGCAAAGATATTGAGCTGGAGGATGTTAGGGCTCCTGGGTCTTTATACATTCACCTATCATCACTGGAGCACATCCCATCATAAGAGTTGCTCTAATTGAGTCTCCTGTGTTGTGCAGCCATGGAATGTGAAAAAAAATAAAGCACTGGATTGAAATGAAAATATACATAATGGTCTGCTTCTATCACAGATCACAATTTGGATGACAAGTTGTACTCTATAGGTATGGTACGGAGCTTTGAATGGAGTAAGCGTTGGCCCTTTTGAGTCATATTCAACAGTTGGTTGTTTTGTATCTCTGCTGTTAAGATTGATATATGGAGGGGGGAAGAGGCAATCCAATTGCTGTTATCTTTATGATTGTCCTTGGACATCAGCGCTTTCTATTTAAGCGTTTCGTGTGGATAAGCACTGGATACAACAGAGCGTACATTGCATGAAAGTATCACATACAGTATGTGCCATGATGAATACATCAATGATTATCTTTTTATCTGTTGATCGAAGAGTCATTTCTGACAATGAGAATACAAGCCTGAGTGTGTGCAGCAATGCTTCTGGCCCTGTGAGACTATGATGCCATGCACACAGAGGAAAACAAAATTGTTGAAGGAAAGAGACATCCTTGCCAATATTCAAACATTTTAAAACGGTGAAGGAAATGCTCGGTTTGGCCTGAAGGTGTGTCGGAAAATCAAAAATCAAAAGGATGGTCTCCCTCTAGTTAAAATCTCGTCTTAGGAAATATCAAAACTGAGCTTTCCTTTCAGAGCTTGCCTTCATCTGTTTTAATATAACAATAGAGCAACTGAGCAAGAAAATACTGTAGGTACTAGAGTGTTTTTTAAATGCAATGAGGTTGTGTTTAAGTATTTGTTGTATTAAAAACGTGTTAAGGGTTAGGGTTAGGTTTGGTTAGAGTTAGTATTAAAAAAGTGGAAGTACCAAATGGGGAGATATAAGTGTCTTTTTGATAGAGAGGATTTATGGCCATCAGCAACTATTAAACTATATATGTTTCTGTGTTTCAGTTTAACACGGCTTTCCCTTATTTCATCTTATTAATGAGTTTCCGATTGAATACATCGGTTCTAGATATTAACTAACGGGAATTAGACAAAGGTGTATCACATTGTGTGAACAGATGTCGGCTACTCATTAGTAAAACTACTTAATACAAAAGATACATTTAAGCAGATACTTAACAACAGGTAGCAGCCATGCCATTGACATGTACAGCCTGTGTGTTGTTGTCCTAATAACAGTAATTAAGAAACAGACAGACCTTGTGTATGGTAAAACATGAACTCAAGGGAAAGTCTATTTATATGCACAAGAGGTGTGAACACATCCTTATTAACTGAGTTTATTTATGGTTGGGTTTCTTATTTTTTAATTTATTTATTCAGCAGGGTAGAGGGAGGATTGATCAAGCTGTAGTAAAGCTGATGGAGGCAATACATGATGGCATTTTTATGAAATAAACAAGCAGGGAGCTCAATAGAGGTCAAACACATTTATTTCCTCTATATTACCATTGTACTGCATTTATCTTAGGTATGAGGTGCTGTTGAACTGCGGTTCATGTTTATATCACTGCAGGATCTCGGAAAAATATATGTCATGGAAACACTACTGTTTTGCTTAAGCCTTTGTCATAAAAACACATTTCCTACCTCCAGTAAAGCACTGTACAGTAATGATATTGGGACACAAGCAAACAGCTTTTCTTATTACCTGATCCTTGAGCTAAGGTCTCGGTTGCTTAAAACGTAATAACCAAAGCAGTATTTGTTTATGTACAATAGATAAAGTACCAACAGAAATTAACGTTGGATGTATTCCTATTCACAGCTCTATGCTATGTCTCTTCCTGTACAGATTTTGGCCAACATTATCATTTTCATGTGTGGCAACATGGCGGGGGCGTACCACAAGCATCTGATGGAGTTGGCACTTCAACAGACTTACCAGGACACCTGCAACTGCATCAAGTCGCCAATTAAACTGGAGTTTGAGAAGAGACAACAGGTAAAGATGTTCACAAGTGTTGATAACCAGCGAGCGTGTGAAAGTCAGAAAGACAGGGAGTGACTGAGTGAATGTAGCAGTGTGGGTTTCTGGTGTTGCTGATAGTGTTAATTACAATGATGACTGTGGAATGAAATGTACACGAATAGAGAATAGATTATCTAAGATGAATGAGGAGACTGCGGCACTGAGGGTAATGATTATTATGAGGATGATGACGACCGCACTGTCTGTGTGACAACACATTGGAAAGCAGATGAAAACTAAAAAACTTCACAGAACTTGGAGATCAGTACTACATCTAGAGTACATGGTGATACTTGCACTGTGTCCTCCTTCAGTACTTTCTGAGTCAAAATAAAGCTTGAGATTAATAGTTTACCCTGTATCTTCTTGCTGTGCCTGCAGAAATGTGCCACATTTGCTGTTATTTAGACATAATTAATACTTATAGTTTAATGTCTTGTTACATAAGAATAGATCATATTTGTTAAGTGTTATTATGGGAGAATTACTATTCTTGTGGTACTACTGCCTTATTAGGCCCATATTGAGCAGCGCATATTAAGACCAAAACTCATGTACAACAACTTCCTTACTTGCAAAAATAAGCACTAATTAGAGGGTTATTGAGGAAAAACTCTCAACTAATGGCTTATTACTTGTAGAATATGGTCATGTAGAATAAGGCATTAATAAGTGTTTTATAATGACTAATAAAGAGCCAATATATTGCTAATATGCATGTTGATTAACAACTAGTTGATGGTTAATTTGTGTACCTTAATATAAAGTGTTACCATTTACCCCTTTTAGAAGTGAAGATATGTCATTTGTTCTGGGAATGTCATTTTCAAGCCTGAAACCTGAAAAACAGGCTCAGGGCTTAACAGGTTAATACTTTCTTTTTTCTGCTGTACGTTATTGATAAATACAAAGTAACACTTGTGTTGGTCCTCGAAATTTCTGTATTCCCACATACTGTAAATCTGTTGAATTCCTTTTTCAAATAAATATCTTTGCTAACCTGTATTTAAGACACAAAGCCAGCCAGCAGCAGTGCTTATTTGTCGGTTTTGTTGCCTTCGTGCTTTGCCAAACATGCTTAGTGTAAAGTTGGAGAAAGTTAGTAAAATAACAGCATTGGAACGTTGTGAGAAATTAGCAAGGTTTTGATTAAGGTTTAGTGCAGTGGGAGCCTGCGATGTAACTAGATTTCTATCACAGCTGCCACAGTTGTAGCTTTTGGGTTCAGTCAGATGAGTGGGAAGCCAGCTGCTGTTGGGGTGGAGCTGGTTATCCCTATGGTGAATCCAGCTTGTGTTGTAACAACCACCATGGGTGAAGCTCAAAATGCTGTGGGTGGAGCTTTTTTTTCACAGAAGCCCTGGAGTGCTACGGCTGCGTGTGACAGATGGTAGTAACTGTGCTGAAATGATTTTTCTCGGGTGCTCATAATATATGCTGTTTGCTGCATGCTTTTATCCAAAGTGCCCCGCAGTACAGTCAGTGCATACATTTTCTTTGTGAGTGGTCCAAGGGGGACTATGTGAATTCATCATAATAAACCCAAAGCCCTGGCAGTGTTAGTAAGCCGCCACTGTTGTCCTCTCCTTCACGCAGAACCCTCTGAGCCTCAGTACGGTGCAGAGAGACAGTCAATGGGGCAGAAAACATGCTGGAGTTGGAGGTGAAATTTTCTTAATCAGGTGTTTTCTACAACCTGAACTTCTTACCCTAAGAGGAGTTTTATTTGCCAACTACTGGGCCGGTTAAGTAAGAGTTATACTTACAGTAGCTTCAGAGAAAACAGGGAGGGATGGTTAGGCCTCGACCAAACAAAAGCTGTCAAAGAGTGCTCACTGTAAAACCGTTTTTTTTACATTGATGATTAATTTGAGTCACAGAAAGTCAAGCTGGCACACCGTAGAGCTGAATTAACCTTCACTTGAAGCTTGAATGGAGACAGGTGACATAATTATGACATGCTTTTGTCTCCTTTTGGTGTCAAAAGTATATCCTTCAGAAAGAAATTAGGAATGATTCAATTTCATTTTAATTTGCTGAAAATGGAAAACCTTTTTAGTGACAAGTCAAGGTTCCTGATAATAATATTCAAACTTCTGTTGATGAAATCAAAGCTTTGTTCTCTACAAAATAATAATCATTTTTCATAAATTGCTTATTTTTCTTGATTTTCTACTCTCTCTTCTTCTTTGTTTTCCTTTAGGAGCGTCTCTTGTTGTCCCTGCTGCCAGCTCACATTGCCCGTGTGATGAAAGCTGAGATCATCCAGAGACTAAAGGGCCCCAACTTCGGCCAGATTGAAAACACGAACAATTTTCACAACCTCTATGTACAGAGGCACACCAACGTCAGGCATGTATTTTCGTTTTGGTTTACCTTTGTGCTTAAAAAACACATATTTGACTGAGTTCATAGATACATATTCCGCATTTGAGCTGCCAACATATATATTCATGGTTGTGAAAGCTATGTTTTTCCAGGAGAGATGTAACTATTGTACAGTATTACATTACATGTCACTTGTTAGACACTTTTATCCAAAGCGACTTACATGCATTCAATACTGTGGGAAATCCCCACAGGAACAATTTGACATGAAGTGTGTGGTCCGAGGATACTTTTTTTGAGTAACGACCCCATCTCTGGCCACAACCATCCCATGTATCACAGTATATTATTTTTTCCCATCTCTAGTATACTGTATGCGGATATAGTTGGATTCACACGGCTGGCCAGTGACTGCTCCCCAGGAGAGCTGGTGCACATGCTGAATGAGCTGTTTGGAAAATTTGATCAAATTGCCAAGGTAAACATTTAATTATTGAACTTCTTCAATAATCAACATATGTATCATAAGTGCAAATGTAGTTTCTTCAATCGAGTCTAAATAAAACATATCTCTATATGTAATTTATTGTCACATCATGTAAAAGGTAAAAATACACCCTTAATGTTATAAAAACAGCTGTCATATTTTATTGCTTAATGAAGAATATGTATTTTTCCTGAAAATACCTGTACGAACAGAAAAGCTTAAATATCTCACCGATGATTACGGCCAATGAGTCTTCTATTATTCTTTCTATGTATATATATTTTTTTCAAACTAAATGTTCCTTATTTTCTCAGGCAAACATTAGCACATGGCTATTTAATATGCATAATCACAGCTGTTGGACCTAGCACACCTGAGGGTGCTAAAACAATAGGAGGCATCCCAAAACAAATACTTATGTATTATCAGGTTTTGACAGCAATCTCTCACAATCATAGAGCAAAAGCTTCTCTCTTAAATTATGTTTCTTTTTGCTTTTCTGTCTTACTGATATATAAAAAAAATGAGAATTACATTTTTCACATATTTTCACACAGACATTAATGAAGCAGAACACATTGCAGCTACCGTAGGCATGTAGAACAAACAAAGGGTTATAATGAGATGAAATCAAAAATGTGCGTCCATGGTACCTTCATCTGACCTTGTTTTCCACCTGTGTCTATGCAGGAAAATGAATGTATGCGAATCAAAATCCTTGGCGACTGTTACTACTGTGTGTCCGGCCTGCCAGAGTCCCTGCCCAACCACGCTAAGAACTGTGTGAAAATGGGTCTGGACATGTGTGAGGCCATTAAGTAAGTGCCAGTTACATAACAGTGCTGCTAAATAACCACAGTGTTCTTTTTTCCTTTACATTACATCTTAGTTCATCTGAAAACATAGACCTTTACAATTAGTGATGTTACACTCAAACCACATGAAGATGAATGCAGTTCTAAGAATTCACCTTGATACTGCTGCTCATGTGATCTCAGCCATGAACTAAAGACTCCCAAGAGTCTCATTAAACTCCTGGAAATTTAAGGTTTTACTTCTGACCTTAATATTTTTTCAAAGATTGTTCGGATTTGCTCTTAAACAGTGATTTTTTTAATGACGTGTATTGAACCGTCCCTCTATGTGTTGAGGATAAGTGCTTGCTAACCATTAGCTCAGATGTAGAGGCTTTTTCTTGATTGCCAATTTAGCTGCATCAAATGTCTGCTGGTAAGTGTGAGATCCTGTTTCACCTCTGGGCATCGTCTGAGAGAAGGGGAGTGGACTGTGACAGAATAAATGGAGAGAATGAGACCTCAAAAAGAATGGTTTAACTGTGGGAAATAAGAAATGAACACCATAAAGTTAATAGAGAGAGGAATCTCCCCTCTTTTCTAACAAGAGATGTGGTGTTGGGGGTGACCTGTTACTCAACACTAATAAGACTTGTTTTTTGTTGCATGACAGGAAAGTGCGAGATGCCACCGGGGTGGACATTAACATGCGGGTCGGTGTGCATTCTGGGAATGTGTTGTGTGGGGTAATTGGACTTCAGAAATGGCAGTATGATGTGTGGTCACATGATGTCACGCTGGCTAATCACATGGAAGCAGGAGGTGTTCCAGGGTGAGTGGAGCAGAAGTAAATCATGTGCTACCATTTGGGTTGCCTCACTATTCTGGTACAATTCTCAAAAATGATTGGTGAAACACTAACTTCATCACAAAAAACCCAGATTTCTCCTTTATATTCATGAGAAACCGATCCATTGATTGATTTGGTCATTTCCAGGCGAGTACACATCACCTCAGTGACACTAGAGCACCTGAATGGATCCTATAAGGTGGAAGATGGGGATGGGCAAGAAAGAGACCCCTATCTAAAGGAACATGGAGTCATCACTTTTTTTGTCATCAACCCAAAGGTACCTTGCACATCCATTACATTCAGGCAGATTAATATTGGACAGTGAATCAAATGTACTCAAATGACACTAACCCCACGTTTCTACAGGTGGAGCGTCGGAGCCCACAGTATCAGTACCGACCCAGGAACACTGTAGACGGAGCCAAAATGAGGGCCTCCGTCAGGATGACCCGCTACCTGGAGTCCTGGGGAGCAGCCAAGCCCTTCGCCAACCTGCACCACAGAGACAGCATGACTAATGAGAACGGGAAGATCAACACCGCTGTGTGTAATGTTTGCCACTCACACCTTATTTAATTGATGATGGGGTTCAGCTGTGGCGTTACACGTCCCTCTTCTTCTGTTTTGTGTCTAGGATGTGCCAATGGGCCAGTATCACTTCCAGAGGAGATCAGAAAGGCAAGCTGCTCACTTTACAGCTCCAGCACAGTTTTCTTTGGCAGGATTATGCTCATCCTATTAAGTTACAGAGACAAGATGTTTTAATAGACTAGGCTGCTGCTCGAGGCTTTGATGTGTGTGACTAATATCAAGTGAACTTAAAGGATATTCTGTCTCGTTCTTCTTCTTATCCCCAAAAGAACAAAGTCTCAGAAGAAACGTTTTGAGGAGGAACTTAATGAGAGGATGATCAGGACCTTTGACGGGATTAACTCACAAAAGTAAGGGTCATTTCAATAAAATATAATTATTTATTTATTTATTTTTCTTTGTAAAAAAAGTAAAGTATGTGCAAATGTTTTATAAAACCATAACTGGTGACACAACATAGCCTCAACATTTCTCTATATATAAACTTCAATTTTGGTGCCAGTATTCTCTTTTTATCTGATACTGAAACAATTTGTTTATGCTTGCAGGCAGTGGCTCAAGTCTGAGGACATCCAAAGAATATCGTTATTCTTTCACAGCAAATCCTTGGAGAAGGAGGTAAGAGGCAGTATAAGCAGATCGGGATCATTCACCCGTCTCCGGACATACCGCAGTATTTCAAAGAGAATAACAACACATTTACCTACACTTAGCTTACCCTGAAATCTTGTAAATTACAAGGATACTTGCGATGTCTGAGTGCCTAGTTGAGACGCTTTTGAAATAGCTTTGATATCAGTTTTAAAGGCTTTTTGTTGAAACTTGACCTTGTACTTTGTTTCTTCTATAGTACAGAGCAACAACCTTGCCGGCATTCAAATACTATGTCACCTGCGCCTGCTTGATCTTTTTCTGCATATTCATTGTGCAGATTCTCGTCCTTCCAAAGTATGTATGTTTTTATTACAGAAGTAAAATGACTGTTGACACAATAATAATGATAATAATAGTAAAGTATTTATTTACACCTTGCTTAGATTTCTGTGTATTAATACAATTATTTGAGCCAAGGCTAGTGCTTATTACAGTTTGTACAATGTCATAAATCTGTCATTGAACTGAACTTAGTGAACTTAATGACATTCTTTTGTTTGTAGGACAATTGTCTTGGGAATATCCTTTGGAATGGCTTTTATTATCCTGTCCTTGATCCTCTTCATATGTTTTATAGGACACTTCCTGGTGAGTAAATGTATTTACTTCAATCATCATTGTTATAGCATTGCCCGTCTCTAGTGTTCTTTAAGTGTCTTTTAAATCTCTCTCTTAACCAGGAAATGCCCGATCTCTAACGGTTCACTTCTGTGCTTAATGTTTGTCCTTATGTCATACCAAAGGCACATGAGTGGTCCAAGTGCCGCTCCGGTCAGCCTAATGGCCCATTAAGTGCCCTTGTTGTTGGCCTGAGTACCCCTCAGGTTTACACAAGTGTAATGTGTGACATTGAGGCAGCAATGAATCCTGACCCCGTGCATGTAACAGGTACTCTCCATTTTTAGAGAGCCAGAGCGCACCACTCTTTTGGAACCTGTTTTAGGCAAGAATTATTCCTTTATTTCTTGGATAAGGTAGACCTGCATAAATTCACTACTGACATGTCACAGTGCAGTTTTTCATCTTCATATTTCTACTGGAGTCATTTTTCCCCCACTAAGCAAGCACACCAGCCACTGAATCTTTCATTCTGGGGTTTACAGCATGTGCCCCTGAAGCTTTTCAAATCAAAGCCATGTCTGTAGATATTGCCGCTGCAGTTGTATCAAACCATGCTTCAAACACTCCTTCAGCTCTCTTCTGCAGCCATCACAGTCTAGTAACAATGAATAAAAGGCCAGAAAAAAAAGAAAAGAGAATGAGGGGAGAAAGAAGGGAGACGTGACTTTTAAAACATTAAAGAAGCTATAAAACTTAACAAGCCGCAGGCCTACACGCCCCACTGCACCCACTGTCTGATCCTCAGTTCTGTGGGAGTGTGAATCTGCTGCTCGGCTCTGAACTGTGCTCCCTGTGGATGTTGCCCAAAGCTCAGAAACAAAACGCAACACTTGATAGCTTATGTTGAGTCAACTCCTGCTGTCTTTTGTGTACTTTATTTATCATTGCTGAGTCTTCGCTTTTGTTTATGCTGTGTCGTTGCTTACTACTGTGGAATGTGCAGACACCTATTCTGTCTTACTTTAGGGCTCCTGTGTAATCAACCACAATCAGCCTGTAGGCAGTGGATCCTTTGTGAATAGGAACATTACACTGCAAAATCAATATGCATGTATCTCCCTTGACACAATGTGGCGCTAAAGTTTCATGAGCATTGGGTTATTTCGCTGCAGCCTTATGTCGTCAGGAGATCGTCAACAAAATTGTTTCTTAATCTCCGAAATAGCATATTACTACAAGCTTTCTATCGATGCAACATTCCCAATATTTCAGTTACATTTTGACTGTTAACTACCAGATTCTGTATTCTTGTTAGCTATAGCACAAGATTTGAAATCCCAATAACACCTTTTTATACATATATTCCTATCTATATATCTTTGGTACCATTTGAACATCTGAGTAAGGAATGAGAACAGGTCATTATAACATTATAACTAAATCAACCCTAGCAGAGTCTCTTAATTAGCCTTTAATTTTCATTCAGATGTTTTAAAATTGCGTTGCATGTGCCTTGTTTTCATAACAACACGTGCCCCACTCGGTCTACATTTCCGGTAGTTCTGCTGGTGCATAACACATTCTGCCATCCTTACTTTATTGTATTGTAATTTACATCCCCAAGCTACTCAAATGTCACATCCACTCAGCCCCAGCGATGCTCAGATATTGCTTTGAGATGACCACGCAAATGATTTGGGCTCTCACTGTCATTGTCTCACAACCAAACACATTCAGCTGAAGGCAGTGCTGCAAAGAGGGAAGGTAATGGACTGTAACAGGCGCAGAGAGCATTTGCTGAAGCATGGGAATATTGTACTCTTGCATCAATGAAAACCCAGTAATAAACACAATATAAACATATTAAAATCCTAATGTCGGGTAATATTGCTTGGTTAAAATGAAGAGCATGATTGCATAGTATACTGCTCTTAATGTTTAATGATTTGAATATAGTGAAGCAGGAGGAGGAAGCTAGTTAAAAACCCCTTCAGCAATGCTTTGGTTCAAATGAAAGTTAAAACATTGTTGTTGCTGAAAATCTGAGTGGTTTGTAGAAGACTGAACATACGGTACGGCGTGCTTACATTATTTTAAACATAATATAATCACTTGAAGTGGTCATTTTTGAGCGCTGTTATTGCATGTTTTCTGAATTAGATTGCAGCAAGCACCATTAGGTTGATAGGCCCCCTCTTTTCATGAATGTCTGCCTTCTGAATTTTCCATTTGGACTGCTGAAGCAATTAGGAGTTAATCAGCAACAAAAGCTTCCCTCTGTGAGCTTGTTATGTATTGTTTAATTTATTGCACGGTAATTGTCCTTACTCAACAGAAATAATTAATTTGTTATTGCACATGTCTGCTGATATGTGTGTTATTTAATTATTTTAATTAGTTCACATCGACGTGTGTTCCTTGGTGCTTCTCCTGTGTGTGACCTTTAATATCCCGGCTCACTTCCACTTGGACTCATGCACTCGTGTGTGTGTGTGTGTGTGTGTGTGTGTGTGTGTGTGTGTGTGTGTGTGTGTGTGTGTGTGTGTGTGTGTGTGTGTGTGTGTGTGTGTGTGTGTGTGTGTGTGTGTGTGTCCACAGCACTGCAGTAAAAGCTCCTCTACCTCTTGGATGTGGCTGCTGAGGTCATCAGTCATTATTGCCGACAAGCCATGGCCTCGTATCACTCTCACCATGACAACCACAGCTCTGATACTCATAATGGCGGTCTTCAACATGGTAAGCTATTGTCTGTAGGTACTCCATTTATGCAGAACGAACACCAATTAGGCTTTACTAAGAACAAAGTATCACAATCTGTCAGATGGCAGCCTCCTTATTAGTAACTGCAGTGTAATTAGAAGCCAAAGGAATGCAATGTTGACCCACAAATAAATACAATAAATTGGCCTTAAATGAAGTTTAGAAACCAGGGATGTCTACATTTGTTTTATATTCATCAAACACACTTAAATTAATATGGAAGCAACTCTAATTTTTCATTCTTGTAACAATACAAACAAATGTGGAAATAAGTCTTTCATCATGGTTAGAGGCTGTGGATGCACCAGCATTTTACTGTAGAATTGTTCTTTTTGCTTTCCATTTGTTTTGTTTATTATGCCTGAAAGTAGCTGAATATTTCTCCACATAATCAACTACAGGAACATGTCTTATTTGTATTGTTTTCTTTTGCCAAGCAGGTTATAAAATGCCTTTTTTAAACATTAACAATATGGCTTTTTTGCATAATAGACGCTTTCCAATTTGCATGTAGTGATAAGAGAATATTGTATTACTTTACCCTTCTGCCTCAATTTTCAGGATTGATCTAAATGTGGTTTAGTGGTATGGAGAGAAAAAAAGGCTCGAGTAAAGGTGAAACAGTAGCCTGAAGCTTGTTGGGAAGTTGCGTGATTAAGCATGGTGTGAGGAGCCGGTTTAGACCTTCACACAAATCGATTCCAGAGATTATAATCTTGTTTTGCGCCCGACGCGGGTCAGGCGCTCCGGGCGGATGAGCCAAATTAACTTGGCTTTGCTCAGTGGGGCAGCCAATCCTCATCTTATCCTGCAGGTTCACATTAAAGGACATTATTGAATGGTTGTCTCTATTGACCTCTTATCTTATAAGACTCTATTTTGCTCCTGCTAGTACAAAGTACACAAGTCTGTCTTTCCTCATGCTGCTGTGCAAGGCAGGCAGGCAGACAGGGACAGTGTTTTTTTCTAATTTGCATGTCGATTGTTTGGGGTTTTTCATCAATTTTTCTGTCCTGAACAAAGATTTAACAAATGCTTTATTTCTGTTGACCTTCTTTCTGTAGTTCTTTTTGGAAGACAATTCATTGCCCCGCGTTCCTGTAAACAATTCATCCAATGAAACACTGTTTTACCCAAATGGACAACTCATGGTCAACACAGACAAAAACAACTTCTACCTTCCTGTAAGTAAAACTTATCATTTCTATATGAATTATTCAGTATCATTTGGGAAAAATTGAATGAATAAAACAATATATCTCTCTTGTTTTCTGTCTGTCTAGTATTTCATTTATAGTTGCATTCTGGGCCTCATCTCTTGCTCTGTATTCCTGAGGATAAACTATGAGCTGAAGATGATTATCATGCTGACAGCCGTGGTGGTTTACAACGTCATTATTCTACAAACACATGCCTCTCTGCTGGATGAATATAGCAGATTTCTGTACAAGACAGAAAGCCTGGACAGGTAGGTGACAAACTGAAACTGTTCCAGATTGCTTTTAAAGATGCAAAGAGAATCAAGCCTGAGAAGACAAAGGGAAGTTGGAGATAACCATAATATAAAGAGAAAATGCCCACCTCAAAATCTTCTTTTAGTTAGATGGCCGGAAGAGTTGGAACTATCCAGATAGAATTGTCCCAATGCCAATATTTTCTCTTATATTTCTACTCAAAGGCCCCGTTGATGGTGCTTGGAAACATGGTAGACTGTACATCAGCAAATCAATGATGGCTGCTCGCATGCTACTGCTCGGTCCCTTCAGGGGCTTTTACCTTCTGTATTCAGGCTTTTCATGCACTGTTGATTTACCCTGGTCAAAATATTGTAGGTGTTATGCTACAACAAGGTTCTGGATTTTGGCCCATGGATTCAACCAAAAAGCAACCCATGAAGTATTACATAAATGCAAATATTCTGAACTCACCCTGCAGTGAGGTCACCTGTGTTTTCACCACAGCTTCGGTTGAAGGGGGGGGTGGGGGGGTTTATTGAATATAAGGTCAAAGAGATGTCAGAAATGCGTTAAGAGTGTGCACTGGATAATTGTAATGTTCGTCTAGCTGAATTAATTGAGTTAAAAAATCCAAGTTCGCTAACCCGGAGTGTTTGGACACAAATGCAACACACAAAGAACAGTTTGTAATGGTGTATCATTTTAAAACTAAGCAGGTTCAGGGCAGGGTAATGAGAGATATAAAAAGTCCAATTAGACAGTGGCAGTGACAGTCTGCCAGATGATATCAATCAAATGCACAGTGACACGCCCCTTTGGCTGTTTTTTTCTTTTAAAGGACATATAGATATATATTTGGTAGTTGATGAGACAACATGCCCTGGAGATGAGGACTGTGGGTGAAACAAGATGTTGATGTAATGCAGGAACTGGTGTCTCTCACAGTTGGCTAACCAACGTTACTGTAGCCCATCAGGCGCTCATTATCCTACCGTATCAATCACTGATTAACCCCACGCATCATTAGAACATGTCCTGAGCTCTATCAGTGTGTAGCTGAACCCAGATAACAGTGGTTTCAGAACAATAGCTGGTGACTTGCTGTTGGTAGTTTCCAATCATGTGCTTGATTTATTCACACATGCACTCTACATGAAGCCATGGCATTTTGCGGAAAGAAAATTGACCTTTTGTATTCCGTAAATGAACCAGTACATCCATTATCAACCGAGTCTCTTGACAGTCACATCATCAGTGTGGGAACTGGCAACCCTGTAGCCAGGAGGAGCTTTAATGAGATGCTGCATGCTGTTCCTGAGTTCAATAAACAGCTCAATCCTAAATGATCTTGCAATATCTAGTGTTGTAGTCCTACATAGCATGTGCATGTGACTGCTTTGTAGATGTTATATTGTATGAGTCTGCTCTCATTACGCAACAATTAGGTAAGCAGTAAGCAATCTTTGTCCATGAGGTTTCCATCCTTATGCTTTCTTCTTGTGAAAACAGTTTGTCCTCACTCTCTGCCACTCACTCTTTGTAAAGAATTGGTTGGATAAGGAAACAGGCAAGTGCAGAAATTGCAGGCTGATTTTGTTCTCAGTTCTCTGCCGAGCTCTGCCCTAGATAAGGGTAAGAGTCCATTAATATGCAAAATGTGCTTGCAGAGATTAGGATGCAACACTGTCGAGCCCTATCACACATACAGAGCCTAAATTCAAACTTCACTGCTATTAAAGAAAGCTTTATTGTAGATGTTAAATGTATAATAGGTGTGTTTAACCATCACCTCGGTTCTTTGTCAGCATGTTTAGTGTTTTGAGTGTTTGGATGCACAGGATGCTATAGACATACATCAGATGTGTCCTGGTTGGCTGCCTGATTCTGCCCTGAACAGGTGTCCTACGTTCAGGGTTATGAGGGTGGAAACCAGAGAGCTTGAAGTGCATTGATAGTGCTGAATCTTTGCAGATGGCTAACACTGTCTCGTTGTTTATTGCCTTTTGAAAGCGTTCCTTGTTCCTTGTTCCTTGAAAGCGCACCCGGCATGGCCACGCAGCCACTTGACTGCAGAAAGAAAACTAGCTCTTGTCACTGTAAAGCAGAAGTGACAATCTTAACCAAGTGACAGCTGTGGATCAAATGCTCTGCTAACCAATCATGTGACACATGCCTCACTCGTCTTTTTCACCCACACTTTTACTCTACTTTCTCTTTTTATCTGTGTTTACTGTATTTTTTTCTTTCTCCATGCACAAACACATTCTTCGTTTTTCCTCTGCCCTTCAAGACCAGGAGTTCTCAAAGACTTGAAGACTATGGGCTCTATCTCCCTCTTTATCTTCTTCATCACTCTGCTTGTGCTTGCCAGACAGGTAAGTCCACACTATAATAGCCTGAGTGATGTCATTGTCTGTCTTTCTGTCTACACATTTTCCCCTTGACGGCTAAAAAAGTAATGTATTTTCAGCTCTGCTCTTGCATCACCGTTGCACTCTTTACTTTGTTCTCTGTGTATTTGCTGCTATATTACTTTCGACAGGTTTTATTTTGTGAAATGAGTCATTGTTTGCTCTTATGTTTTCACAATTTGCAATGACCTTTTTCCCCCATGTGGTTTTCCCATTGTGAGAAGCCCATGCTATATCTCTTACATCCCTGTCATATTGCTGCTGTTGAGGGATTCCATGATCTCTAATCTTTTTAACCATTCATGGTCTCTCACACTATAACTATATAGTTACATTTCAATGGACTGAATTAGATTCCAGACACTACCATTTTCATCATATCTTAAATATTATACTGTATACTGTATGTTATCACCTCCGAGCTAAAGGGTAATAATAGGTTCTGTTCCCGGCTGATACATGAAATAAGGTAGAGACGTTTAAGCTTTTCGGCTGCTGTGCTGCACTGTGCAAGACAGGCATCATGAGACCAGTGATTTACCTCAGCTATTCTGAAACTGCACAGGGAGAATGTGAGATTTACTAGCCAGGAGAAGCAGGGGCCAGAGAATGGTCCTTCTGGAGAGTTGTGGGCTTCTTATTCCAGCTATGTTCGGTTACGCTACACATCAGCACTTACTGTAGAACTTGGGCACTATTGTCCTCTGGAGCTACAGTACATCCTTAGCTACATATTTTTAAATGAACAGTAAGCATCCCATTTAGGATCCTTTACATTTTGATTACCAAGACATTTACATGTAAACTGCAAAGCTGGTGGTGACATAGCCGAGAGAAGATAATACAGTACATACAGTGTATTCCATGTAGTGTTTGCACACATGAATGTGTACTTCATTTGGTTTAGAAAATACTTAAATACAGGATGAAGCCCCAGCACACTGTCAATAAGATGAGGCAGAGGACAGGATAATATTTCTATTGGAGCTTATCATTAAATGGAAAGCCTCTGATCTCGTGGGCTTTACTCCAAAGTATGAGCATGTCTGCTACACGTTTTCTTTCCCATTGGGGATTTAACTTTGTCCACAAGAGAACACTGATGGAATTAATGTATAGGAGTATGCAAGACTGGATGATTGATAAAATATCGTCTTTCCATTACCGCCCAATTTCCAGCGCTTAACAATCTCCAGATAAATAACCTAATAGCATGTGGTTGTGTCATCAAAACATACATGGATGTAACTACATGATTCCTGTGTCTTTGCCAAACTAAAACTACATCAAGGAATAAATTAATAGAACATTCCAAGTGTGTCAACATCACAGGGACAGTTGTTTGGCATCCTAGTATACTGAATGTATTTGCTACATGCATTATTGAGTGTGATTGAAATTGGTTACGTTCCCCAACTGTAGACACACATTTTGAATTCCCTTTGGGGACTGGCTGTTTCTGTCAATGCTCAAAGCTTCTGTCTCTCAAAATGTGCCGAGACCCTTCCTGCATAAGAGCTGCTGGAAATGATGCAACATATCAAAACATGAAAATCAGGCAGATTGACTTTGAGTTAATTATTCATATATTTGCTGAAGACAAAGTACTGACATCCCCAGCTCAATGAAAGGCGCATGTATCTGTATGTACAGCCAAAATAACAGATGCCAGTTATTAATATCTGCTCAGTCTTGTGTATATTGCACTGTGCATGTTTAAAGAGTACATACAGACATTGTCTTTGTACCAACCCCCACTTTTTTTTATTTAAGTGTATCAAGTAATTATATTTCTAATATTGAGTCATATCACTTTCCAGGCATGATCATTGTTCCATCAGATCATTTTTCAATTATGATTCTCCTTGGTTGATGCATCCTCTTTGTGAAATATGGCCATTGTGTACTTCTAAGACACAGGCAGAAATGGAGCCATCTGAGCTGTGAGCTCTTCGCACAATATGAAAGAAAATAAAGTGTCAAACTGTTACAAACTGTACCCACAATATTCTCACCAGGAAAAGTAATTCCTCTTTTGTATTGCAATGTGTCACCCTGTCTTGCCTTTCACTGTGTTCATCAATAAGTCTTATTGATGTGCTGGTAATCATGTTTTTTTTTTATACCAATTCATTTGTTGTTGACAGTTTTTGTGATTTTGTGTCCTTTTCTGTTTTCTGAGCCTTGGTGGAATAAACGTTGAGCTGTTTCTATTTGTCTCTGTGACTTGATGGAAGCAAGCTGTACAGCTGTACCTTCAGTCTCTTCACCTCTGTGTCCTCTTGTAACAGAATGAATATTACTGTAGGTTAGACTTTCTGTGGAAGAACAAGTTCAAGAAGGAGTGCGAGGAGATTGAAACGATGGAGAACCTCAATCGGGTTTTGCTGGAGAACGTTCTGCCGGCACACGTTGCAGAACATTTCCTGGCACGCAACTGGAAGAATGAAGTAAGCTGTTTTTTTCCAGCATAGATATGTACTATAGATACATACACATTTTTGAATTGAAAAACTGCTGCTTGACAGATGTATTGTGGTTTCATAGAGTTCATGCAGTATTAGTAGCTTTATGCCAAGATCCATTACATTAATTCATGTGCTTTTATGAGACATCGCAAAAGCAGTTTACCCCAAAAATAATCTTTGGTTTAAATCATTACATGATTTTAACCCAGTAAGCATTTTAAACCAGATTGTGCTATAAAGGATTAACGTGTAGAAAGAACAGTGTTTTGTAATGAATGGAAAGACTGCTGGTTTAGTCATCGTCTGTTTTCCAGATGTTTAGTTTTAAAATAATTAAACTGTATATACTGTATAACTCATAAGACTTTTTAAATGGAACTGGCACTCATAGTGTAGTAGTGGAATGATTCATTATGAGTGACAATAACAGAACATTGGGAGGCCGTCTGGGTGAATTTTCTGACTCGCCTGTTCTCATTCATCATTCTGGCTCCTGTTGTATCCCTTAAGTGCTCCTCACAGTGTTAACTGTAGAAAAGTTAAGTTGTACGTCTTAAGAAGTTTAGAGGACAAGTTCAAAGAAGAATAATGCTTCTGCAGCAAAATCTCTGAATGAACAGTCAGCAAATGACTCTTTTCCCATCTGGTCCAAAGGTTTTTATTGAAGTATTTTCAAGCTTAAATATACACAAAAATCTCCTACCACATGATCCAAATGATTCCAAATGTATGTCTGCTTTTCATCCAAGTCTGTGGCTTATCAGTTTTACAACATTATTTTGCAGCTGTCCTAACTAACGTCTGTATTTTGTCGCACAGGATCTGTACCACCAGTCCTATGACCTGGTGTGTGTCATGTTCGCCTCCATCCCAGACTTTAAAGAGTTCTACACCGAGTCTGACGTCAACAAAGAGGGATTAGAGTGCCTCAGGCTCCTCAACGAAATCATTGCTGATTTTGACGAGGTGAATAACCCTTAATCTTTTAACATTCTACAAGGGCGTCAGAAATGCTATAAATCAGGAGATTTTCTGAAGGCTTCATTAATTAAACAATATGAACTATGTGTTTGAACTACAACCTCCTGTTAGAGTGTCTTAATGTTTGAAGAGATTTCTACCAACCCGATTGCTGTTGTCTATATGGATGTCACTTCTGCCATAAAGTATGTCTCATTTGTTTTAGCTGTTGTGTTTGTATTTGTGTGTGTAGCTGCTGTCCAAACCCAAATTCAGTGGCGTTGAAAAGATCAAGACTATTGGCAGTACTTACATGGCTGCGACTGGGCTGAACGCATCACCTGGGCCTGAGTACACATTACAGGTAGGCTCATCACACACACAAATCACTCTCCACCACATGTCATTCCTTAAGTCTTTAACATCGCCTTACAATTTCTGTTACTGGTTTTGTTTCCTGCCTGTTACCCAGGAGCACGACAGGCAGTACATGCACTTAGGGACCATGCTGGAGTTTGCATTTGCCTTGGTGGGGAAGCTGGATGTCATAAACAAGCACTCCTTCAATGACTTCAAACTCAGAGTTGGTGAGTGATGTACTGAAGTTACATTTAAAGGTTCAATTCAATGATATTTCAGCTACTAAAAAACGTTTTTATCCAAAGTTGAACTGCATTAGGCCGGTTGAAACCTCACATTTTTAAAGCCACTTGAATGACAAGTGTTTGCAGTAATGCTCGTTTTTTTTAATAAGATATGTAGGGAAATATATTTTTCCTGCAACACAATGGAAACCGAGCAATGGTGTGTTGCTTTCTGCATAACCCTGAATCCATTATGATGTTACGGCCCACATAGTAAAAACATTAATATTTGCCCTAGTTATACTTTTTGGCTATTAGAGGCCAAAATGCATAAATTAGATGAAATATCCCCGCTGTTGGGTGAGAGTGGACATGTAGCCTTTAGTTTATACATCAATTTCTTTCTATTTTTAGAGTACCCATACTGCTAGTGCTCTGTGGGTAATTTCATTATAAAGATAGAAACAAAGAGAGATGCGTACATGTCTAAATAACGAAGAAAAGAAAACTGATGTTTGCTGCAACACACAAGTATAGTCATGGCAACCAAGGGAGAGGCTGACTCAAGCGTAAAGGGACAATTGAAGAGCTAAGCGTTGCAGGCAGGTCCCAGCTCACTGCAGGGGGTCAGAGTTTAATACCACAACCTGTCTGCAAAGATCGCAGCATGGGATGCTCCATTAACTCAGCAGTGTGCGTGTGTGTGGCGGTACATCCCGCTGCTCCATCAGAAAGAAATACAGGTCCTCACCCACTGGGACTAGACCAAATCACAGGCATTGTGGTTTGGTGTGCTGCCTTTTTCCAGGGAGGCCTGTGTCAGCTCGGTGCCGTGATAAGTCTGGGATTAAGGGTTCAGCTGCATTTAGTTTACACACTTCATCTCATGTTCTGATGAAATCTTGTGAAAAGCTGGGTTTATTCTGATTCCTGCTAAAGGATTTTTGGAGCAGCACTCGATAATAAATAAGTCATTTCAAAAAGTGAATTTCAAATTGTTCTTGTATGAAATCAGAAATAGACACTAAATAATGATGTGCTTGCTGTTTCCCAATTCAGTTACACTTTTATACAGAATTCAACACATCACAAAATGTATTCATTATGTTGGACATTTAAAATGAGCACCTCCTGCTATGTCCAGTGTACTGTCATTTACCGTTTAGATCAAAAATGAGAACCTGTCAATGTAACTGTGATAACTGTGGGATGCTTACTGATGGCTTGGGTGTCCTTTGTCAGGTATTAACCATGGGCCAGTGATAGCTGGAGTCATTGGAGCCCAGAAACCACAGTATGATATCTGGGGGAACACGGTGAATGTAGCCAGCAGGATGGACAGCACTGGAGTCCTAGGGAAAATTCAGGTGAATATAATAAGACATTCTTTCTCTGATAACCTTTATTTTTCATCACATCCAATGAAAAGCCCCAAACTAATTGAGACTAACAATGATCTATTTACAAAGGGGTTGATAAAGTCTTAGCTCTTTAACCAAGAGACCACTGCATAATGCAAACAACAATACCACTGTTGGACTGGGTGAGACCATACACCCCAGCACGAGCAATACAATGACTAACAAAGCACTTATATACTAACAAAGCACTTTTATACTAACAAAGGACTGGCTTATCTAAAGCCAGTTGAGTAGCACTTGAAATGTTTTAGCTCTATGAAACCTGATGTACTTATATGATTCTGTTTTCTTCAAGTTTGTATCTTCTTGTTCGAATGCACTTATTTGGATAAAAGCGTCAGCTAAATGTAATGAGATGTTAATTACCATTGGACCTTTTTATTTATTTAATCCAACATACAACATCTTGCTGCCGTATACACTCACAAGTTGCTTTTACTAATACTATTAGTATACTAATGTATTACATATGCTAAACAGTAGGAAATTAATCATCACTTATTTAAAACCACAACTATATGTGTGTGACTCAAGTCCCAGTACAGGGAGTTTGGTGGTATCAAGATGGACTAGATACTAAAAAAAGAAATCATGGGATTTGTTATAATAACAATAATAAAGAATAAGTCCAGCCCTGACTATGTTCTGTGTTGTTCAACATCAAAGAAGTTTGAGAAGTCTCTGTATCTGTCAAACATCACATTGTGTTAGAAGTTGACAGTTTCTTTCAAGGCAGCAGCACTGCTCCATTTAGACATGTTAAATGTCAGTGCAGATGCTTTAATGATAAAACTATTCTCCCCTCTGCTCATGCTATTTAAGGCAGAAAGGACATCATCTTAACGTCTTCCAATCTCAAATGTTCCCCCGGCGCTGATAACATATAATGGTTTTTCACCTGCATTACAGCATGTACACATTTAATGGAGCCATCTGCTGTGCACTGCAGCTTATCTGCAGGGATTTCAATTGAATTCCAGGAATGCCTCTTGATATGTTAAGATGTGCAGAGGCAATAAGAAGAAATGGTGATTTATTCCAAGGAAGCATATAAATATCCCCCATATTGCAAAGTCTAAGTAATTATACTGGCTTTTCGTAGTTTTCTGGAAACTGCTGTGCTCAATGTTATTTAATGTTTTGAAATGTACAAATGGAATTTAATGCATTAGCAGTGATGTTTCTTTTATGATGGGAATACACCAGTCATGAATTTATTATTAGAACTGGATTACTGACCCACAGTGTCTATTCCGCACAATTGAGAAATGTTTGTCTGGCACATACTCTGAAAAAGTTTCTTAGCTTCCTCTGTATCTGTAAATGTATTCATTTGAGTACATTTGCCTACAGGAATACATTCAGTTGTGTAAGATAGGAAAATAGACTCACCGATGTGGTTCTCCCTGCAGGTGACGGAGGAGACGAGTCGCATCCTTCTGACCCTCGGTTACATGTGCTCTTGTAGAGGAATCATCAACGTCAAGGGAAAGGGAGAGCTCAAGACCTACTTTGTGCACACAGAGATGACCCGCTCACTGTCCCAAGGGAATGTGATGCCCTAACACTTTTTCGGAATATGCTGAATTGACACTAAATGAACAGATAGAGGAGATTTGATCTTCTCAAAGCTGTTGCACAGTGGGAAACACGAAGGAACCAGATCTGCGCTGTGAGGAGGAAAGGAATCGGATTTTAATGTTGCATTACAAGTTACGTTTGCCACAGCTGTAGTATACATTTAGTCACTTACTGTATGTAACTAAGTGTAGCATGTACAGCAAAAAGGCAACCACCCATGAAATAAATTGGACGGTTGGATCCAGAAAAGCCAAAGTGGTCCTGAAAATTATCTAAAAATGGTGTCGTATTCTGAATCAGTTGCGGGAGGCTTGCGCTAGTCACTTTGCCATAAAAGCCTCTTTTTCAGCCAGACACATCAAAAACAGAATTCATGAAGTATTCACTTTCGGGACACAGTGCATTTCGATGTCAAACAATGTACAGAAAGACCTCTTGAAGAGCATTTAAAAGACAAAAATGTCAGTGTGAACATACAGAAGGGTTTAATGGATATAAAGCCCACAGCTTAACCTCACCTTTCAAAAAGGGATACAAAAAGAGGCGGATAGAAGGTCTGATGTCAAGAGAAAAGCTAAGGACAAGTGTTACAAGGGAAAAGTGCAAGAGCTCTGTTGAAAAGGTGAATCTGGCTCTGTTTTAAAAAACACAGCCTGGCAGCAAGGAGACACACCCGTGTGTACATAACTCCATCAACCTTGTTACAAGCAAGAAGTCTTGGATGTATTTCACAGCCAGTCTATGAAAGTAAAAGCATATACAGAAAACGATGAATATATTGTGATATTCATGCATGGCCACGTTTCCTAGAAGTGTCTTTGCACTTTAATCATCTTGTATTCATTGAAAGCTTACAACACTAAAATATGCTAAGTCTTTATGGCCTAGGTCAGATGACTGCTGGAAATGTAAAAATCAGATGATTGTTTTTGTTCAGAAAGGCTGCAGGGGTTTCAAGTTTAAAGTTCTGGTTATAGTAAAACTACTTGTCACAAAAGATGATTTTAGTGTAATGATTTTCATTCAGGGAACCTGGGCCTGAGCAGTGTACAAGGTAGCTTTAGAGTGAATATTGTACAGTGGTTTTGTTATAAAAGAAAATACTACCAAAAAAGTGTTTTTGATGTTTTGATGATGCCATTGTTTTTTGTATAAACTTCATTAAAATTTGTATTTCAGTTCTATTGAGTGTTATTATTTGCCCGCCACGTTCAGGCGTATCACATGACATGATTTCAATTGAATCTCAGTATAACATTATTGCTAGAAATAAATAAAACCCAGGAAACACATTAAAGGTGTTAAAATAAGGACCACATTTGTAATGTAAATAGAAAGAAATTTTATGATGCATTTCTTTTTTTATCAGTGTGACATAATTGCAAAGATGACCAAATAAAAACTAACCGTAATCTAACCTGATCTAGATGATTCATGCAAGTAATACGAGGTACACTAGAGCAACATTTACATAAAGACCAAGCTCAAAAAATACTGAAATGACACAACAGTCTGAGTAATCCAAATATTTATAGCTGATCTTCAGTCCTCATTCAATAGCTTTCTTTGTCCCCATTGTCTTTATGCGAAAAAATACAAAACTAGAATTAGGATTCAAATACAGTAGTTGTGTTTTTTATTTGTTTAGATTACTGTAAAATGTACTGTAAGGGATTGCTGTTGTTCTAAAAGATTCTTTCTACATGGAATATTCA